AAATCCTTTGATTAGCTCCTTTAGGTTTGCTACCTTTTCGCTAAAACCTCCTTCACAAATGATCATTAGGTCATCTGCAAACTGAAGGTGGGTGACGGGGACTTGGTGTCTCCCTATTCTCCAACCCCTAATGGCATCTTCACTGTCAGCCTTAGTAATGATCCTACTGATCACATCAGCTACTAAGGTAAAAAGGAAGGGTGAGAGTGGATCCACTAAATCTTCTTTTGTCCTATACTTGTCGTTGAAAATTCTTGCATTCCTTTCCTCCCATATTGTCCACACCACAGCTGCCCTTACTGATTCCCACATAACCCTTCCTCTTTCTGTTGGCTGCCTAAGAAAGTTTGGACCAAAGAGGCTTTCTACATCTTGGGGAGTACACCTGCAACCAAAAAGAGAGAAAAAAGATTCCCAAACAAAAAGCACAAAAGGGTAGTGAATAAATGGGGTAGGGATTCACCATCTGCAAAGCAAATAATGCACATATGAGGGGAGAGGCATTTATTTCACCTCCTTTTTTGAAGCATGTCACAGGTGCTCACCTTCCCAAGAAACACCTCCCAACACAAAGCTTGGGCTTTTAGTGGAATGAGCTTGCTCCAAACCTCTTTCACCAAAAAATTCTCACCCCCAACAGGAGTTTGTACAAGGGCATTGAAGAAAGAAGCACAGGTAAAAGTGCCATCAGAAGAAGCAAACCATACACTAGTGTCCTCCAAAGATTGAACCAAGTAAACTGACTTATGACAATCAAGCAAACAAATAAGGGACTCACATTCATTATTCCTCAAACCCCTTCTGAAACCAAATCCCAACTCAAACCAAAGTGAGAGAAGCTAACGAAATTTGAAATGGGTTGTAACTTGTAGGTAGAAACTGAATAAAGGTCAATGAAAAGGGAGCACAAAGTAGTATCACCCAGCCAGAGATCTTCCCAGAAAAGCACCTTAGAACCAAAACCCACATCAAATTTGATGAAATTAAAAAAGATAGGATATACCTCTTGAATTGCTTTCCACAGAAAGCTCATGGAAGATGTGGGGGCTATCTTTTCTTTCCACAGGATTGCTTGAGAAGCCGGTAATTCATTCCACAAATCCTCAGTGCCAAATGAAAGGCTATGTGAAAAGCATGCTCTTCTGTAATTTGAGCTGCTCTCCATGTGGACAAAGGAGATAATGGGAAGTATTCCATGCATGGTTAGGAAGATATATAATGATACGCCGGTATGTTTTATTCACTTAGCCCACCTCTCCAATGACTTCATGGTCTAACCAACCAATATGCCCTTAACAAATCTATATGCATTTTGGGCAATGGACCTTTGGTACATTTGGAAAGGGAGAAATGCTAGACTGCTCAAGAAGAAGAACACCATAGTTTGTGATGGAATTAGTCACTATCCAACTAATCTATTGGGTTAGACCAATGTTTTAAAACGCGGAGGCGTTCCACTACCTAGAGGCGTGAGGCGTTCAGAACGCAAGAGGTGTAAGCCTCCCGAACACAAGGAGGCATAAGCCTCCTTAAGAGGAGGGGTTAGGAGGAGGAAGGGGAGGAGGATGAAGACGAAGGGGGGATATCATTTTTTCTTTATTTTAATAAAAATCTTTTATACTAAGAAGAATAAAGATGCATAACATTAGTTGAAAGGGGGGGTCTTGTCGAAGCGGATAGGGTTAGTTGATTAGGGTATGGAGATTTGGAAGGGATAGGGTTCCAGTTACCCACCTTCAGTTTGCAGATGACAATCAATTTTTTGAGAGGGTGGAAGAGTCAAGGAAATTGTGGAACTTAAATTTGGTGGCAAATTTGTTTGAGCAGATTTGTAACTTGAAAATCAATATGGATATTGTAGAGATGCACTAGGGCTGCTGTACTTTGGATGGTCTGGGATGAAAGAAATGCAAGAATATTCAAGGACAAGGAAAGAAGTATGGAGGCAATCTTGGAATGCATTCTATATAGGGTGATCCTTTGGCTCAAATCTTTGGACCAGTTTTCACCCTATTCTTTTGATGACTTGAGAAAGAAGCGAAAGGAAGCCACTGCCTTGTCAACAAGGAAGAGTAGAACCCTAAAAGATTGGGAACCACCTGAAGACAGCTTTATCAAATTAGACTTTGATGGGAACAGTTTTGGCAATCCAGACCCTTTGGGGATTAGAGGGGTTTTTAAGGATAAAGATAGACTCCAATGATTAGAGGGGATTAGAGGGGTTTCCAGCCTTGGGAGGCATATTTTAAAGATATATTCTGCCTCCAATGATTATGCCAAAAATGAATAGAATGAGTCCCTGCACTAGTTTTTTCACCTTCAAGCCTCCCACTGGCCTCCGTTCTTCCAACACCCATTTGCTAATAGTATCTACAACGTGTTTTCAGCCCTTTGGAACCAGCATCATTCCTCCTGTGGCCATGTCCTTGTCTGTATCACCTCTTTGAATTAAACTCCCTCCTGAGTCTTAACATATTGTGGTCTGGCCGGCCCATGGGCAGACTCTTACATTGCGATTGGATTTTGACATTTTAGTCGTTAGATAATTTGCACTTTTACAATATTACACCTGCCAATGAGAGTCACCATTGTACATATTTCATATTCTTTCATTACCAATTAATAAAGTTCTTTTCCATTCAATTTTTGTGTCATTGTGCCACTTTGGGGATGATTTGTTCTATAGCCCTGTCTATTTTCAGAAATTTAACTGATCCATTTTTTATTAGTACCATTGACCTTCCTTGATTTTTTTTAGTTTTCTATGAGAACCTAGATTGTTGCCCTAATCATCCTTATCTAGAGTACAAGTATGATTTTGAATCAGACATGAATCAGTTGGGTTAAAACCTTACATCTTCTGCTGTTTTGGGAAGCCATATACATGATTTTCAGAAATCAGTTCTTTTTTCTACCTTTGTTTTTTGGTGAGGCATTAAGGGCGGAGAATTTTTTATTTGAATTTTGTGGTTTTTTTCAATTAAAAAATTAGGGAAAAACATCAAAGGTGAGTCTACTTAAACTCAGACACAACCAATTCAATATCCTCTTTATTAGGAAACTGAATCTAATCACTCTCGTAAAGAATATGGGATATTTTTTACACCAACCCATGCATTGCACGAGTTGCATCTAGTATTGTGTGTGTGTGTGTGTGTGTATATATATATATATATATATTCATTCTTGGCCCCTTTTTGTCCTTGGGGCTTCCAATGACTTTAATTTCTTTTTTAGAACCTATGTTAGTGTTCCATTTAAAAATTTTAACACAATAATAATTATAATAAGAATAAATAGTAGTTACAGCAACAATAATAATATCAACAACACCAACCTAAATGTCACTTCAATGCTTATTTTAGTGACAAATTTTAATAGAATAAATTAGATAGAAATAACAACAAATTCCTTTATCTTCCAGCAGATCTGACTTGTGCAATCAGATATAGCACAAGATTCTTGGGGGTACCTCAGGAGCCATCCAATATGGTGTTCCAACAACAGAATGTGTATTAACATCAGCCTCGGTCAGTTTTGTTGCAACTCCAAAATCAGCAAGTTTAACAAGACCCTGAAAAGATCAATTTAAATTGAGTAAAAATCTGGAAAAGAATGGTCAAACAAAAAAATATATGACACTAAACAAATCTCACAATAAAATAACCAAGATAAGCAAATGCAACCTAATGGCAATAAAGATAAATTACTATTTTCATTCTCTTTCTTGTATGAATAAAAGATGAAATAATGACGATAGTATATTATTACAGTTATTAGTGTAAGAGAAGAAATTGTTAGTTGAACAAACAGTCAATTCACAAAATTAGTTACGCTTCTTATTTTGGAACGAGGGGCAAAGGAAAGGGAGCTTGCAGTGGCAGCAGTGGCCTCGAGCCTCAACTGAGCACCCAAACCCTAGATTTGATAGAAAGAGACAAAGGCGGGGGAAAGACAGCAAAGTGTACTAGAGCAGTTCTGAGATGGATGAGGAATGGTCCTCTTCGGACGATGAGTCGAGTATAGGTAGTGTTCAAAATCAGGCATTTCCACCAGTTTTGGACTCAGGACTACATGTTGGAAGGCCGGTTTAGTCTAAACATCGAAGATCAGAGGGACACAGCACGATTGAATGGTCAAGGTTCTAATAACAAAAATCCAAAGACTCAGGGTGACGGCTTGTATCCAAGGAAGAGAAAACCAGAACTTTCGCAAAGGCTGGGGCAGGAAATTTCAATCAGGTCAGGATCAATCCAGGAGAAGCACATAGAAATACCAGATTTCTTCCAGGAGAACCCTCCTTATTCAAAACTTGATAGGTTTCTGCCTATCTCAGGAGTGGGAGAATCACTGGGAAAATGTGTTAGGGAGAACCTTCCCTAGGCTTACTTCGGATCATTGGCCGATTTGTATCTTTTCAGAATCAAATGGAGGAGGACCCAAGCCATTTAGATTTGAAAATATGTGGCTTACTGTACCTGATTTCATGCAAAAGGTCAGAGAGTGGTGGGAGACAGATGACACTCAGGCTCTGTTACGATCCATTTGTCCCATGTTGGTAGTATGGGATGCTAATGTGAGGTATCCCACATCAGTAAAATGGGATGCTGTTCTGGGGTATATATGTGCATGGGTTCCCTCCCTCTAACAGCTAGCTTTTAGGGGCGAGTTCTCCCAAGGCACATAACGAATGGTATCAGAGCCTACACTATGCTTCCCAGTTGCAATCGTGTGGCGCAGGTGGTGACGTTGGTATTGCAGTGTTCGGCCGGAACTAGGTGAACTAGAACAAAGCCAGCCTGCGTGGGCGCTGGGACTGCGGAGCGTGGTGGAATGTTATGATCCATTTGTCCCATGTTGGTAGTATGGGATGCTAATGTGAGGTATCCCACATCGGTAGAATGGGATGCTGTTGTGGGGTATATATGTGCTTGGGGCCTCCCTCTAACAGCTAACTTTTAGGGTGAGTTCTCCCAAAGCACATAACAAGCTCATTGGGAAGGTGTAAAGTTTCAGTTTCATAGGAAACTCAAGAATCTAAAACAAAGAATAAGGGAGTGGAAGATCAGTAATTTTAGGAAAATTGAGGAGTGTAAATCAAGCCTAATAAACAAAATTGATGAGATTGATAGGAAAGAGGAGCAGCAGTATTGGGGCTACAAAAGGCATGGGAGATGGGGGTGAGAAAATTGATAGTTGAAGGAGACTCAAGAGTAGTTATCAGCTGGTTGAGGCAAAAAGAAACAGCTCCTTGGATCTTAAGGAACGATTTCAAGAAGGTAAAAAGGTTCACAGAAGGTATGCAAGTGGATTTTCAATGTACTCCAAGATCAGCAAACAGCTTGGCAGATCAACTAGCAAAACAGGGGGTGCACAGGGAAACCTGTTTCTGGGCTCAATTGTAATGGCAAAAGTAAAGTTGGGTAGTTTCTAATGTTTAGACTTTCAAGGGTAACCAAGGCTACCCTTGGTGTAAATCTTATTCTGTTTAATAAAATCTATTTTATTCATCAAAAAAAAAACATCTATGGCAAATTAATGGGCAAACTAGTTAATCTGAAGTGAATAATTTGTTGAATATTTAGCTTACAGTTTCTTCCTTGTTTCTTTTATTTTCATTTATTACTGCCGTTTGTTTATTACTTTAGAGTTGATCTTTGGGTCTGCTAACTCCATCTACGAGACTTGCCGGAATCAAGGTTCAATGTATCAATATGATATGCCCCATATCAGGTTTATCGTATCATACTTTTAGTTCTCAGAAACGTTAAATACTACTACATTTTTAAGTTTGATTTGCTTTATATTATTATATATGCTTTGACAACACGTCTAGCAAAGTATTAGACAAAACATTCAAAAGAAGTATGCCTTTTTTTATCATTTGAAACTCTCGATATGCAAAACTTGTGTATTGAGAGTATCAATACTTTTACCATGGCCAGAATTATGGTTTTAAGGAGTGTATCTATGTATGGTTGTGGGTTTTATATTCTTGGGTAATCTAAACTTTCTTGTGCATCTTGTTTAGATTTCTGCTAGAACCCTTTTTCTGTCAGGGCTGGTTTTCGTTATGTTTTTCCCATTTTTGTTCCAAGACCATCAGCTTTTGTATTGTCTTCCTTTTTCCTCTTTGGATTTTTTTCATCAATACTTCTTTAGATACCTTTCTTTTTGTTATCGATCTTAGAGGAGAAACTATAAAATAGCAATTTGTAACAGAATACGGACAACACAGAAATTACGGTGTTCATTAGATAACTTGACTATTCAGTTCATAACAAGGATCATCAGATGCATTCACATTTCACACCAACTACCTCTTTGGTTGTCAATATATTTGCACCCTTGATATCCCGATGAATTACACCTTGTTCATGTAGATAGACCAAACCTTCTAAAACCTTCAGATGAAGAAAAAGCAACATTACATGCTAAGGAAAAAAAAAAATAAAAAGAAGAAGGAAAAAAAGTAAAGGAAAGAAAAGAAACTTGAAGCCATATCCAAACCTGAGCTATGTAAACAGCCACCAAAGATTCTGGAAAAGGGCCAAACTTGTTTGGCTTGATAATGTTAGCAAGTGAGCCGTTCTCCACATACCTACATCAGCACCATGTACATCAATTACATTACAAGAAAAGCAGTATTTTGTTCAATAATTGAAGAGAAGTTGAAGCATACATACTCGAGAATTATGTGCAGATGAGTCTTTGTCTTCAAGGATCCAAGATATTTCACAATGTTTTTGTGATTCAAATTCTGCCAAATGAATAATGAAATAACAATAATAATAATAATAATAATAATAATAAATAAAATACTTTGAATGACAACATCATATGTTGAATTTAGCATACTGGATGGTAAAGACTCAGAATGTTAAACTCAAAAAAGAAAAGTGAATTATAAGGTAGACCATTAGGGCTTTCTACCAGGAGTAAATCTATATTTGTACAGTTTAAGGGGGAGTGACAATGATAATTTGATAGGTCCATGCCCCAAGTATTTGTTTGCTAATTTAATTGCTCTACTGAAAATGACAAAAGTGATAGAACAATTAACTTTCAGCATAGCAGATCTTTCAAGACAGTACCAGATATACACCATATCAATATGACATTGGTAGATGGCCCTGATGGCATACTCAAGGGTAATGTTGGGTGTTCTGGCGATATATAATGCTATCAAGGTCATAAAAGAAAAAAGAATGGTAAAGAAAATAGCACCTTTAGTAGATCAATCTCTTGCTGAGAGATAGAACACATCCACCAAGCAAAGAGCATTGCAAAAAAGAAAGCAGAAGATGGTAAGACACATAATAGTGATAGGAAGCAAGCATCTTGCACCAATAGTATATCATTTAACATATACAAAATAGGAGGTGCAAATATGTTCTAAGTGTAGCATCACAAACATGGTTCTTTGGAATTCGAACATACTTAACAATCAATTGATTCATCGCACCTATTCATCAAAAAAAACTGATTCATTGCACCTATTCATCAAAAAAAACTGATTCATTGCACCTAACATAATACCAGCATTGCAAGAAAAACCACAGCACCCTAAGCAACAAAAAATTGAGAGCCCGAATGTCAAATTCGGATCCCTTCAGCATGCATCCAAAACCACAATACATGACAATACAAGAACGTCTTGGTTTTAGGTGATATAGGATTTTCTTGTCTTGGACTGAACTGCTTGGTCCACCCCCACCCCCTTTCTTCTTCCTTCTTACATGTGCTTTTGCTTTTCTTTTCTTTTTCTGGTCAACAGGCTTTATTTGTTGGACATTAACATGCATTCCATCATTTTAGAGCAATACTTCAACCAAGCTACAGAGCCCAAACCCTTTTCTTTTATTATTAGCCCTGACTGCACCAATGACATTAACACGCATTACACACAAAATGGCGTTTAACTTGCTCAATAGCAAGATATTTTTTGGTGGTAAAATAAAAATTTCATTAAAAGAAAAAAGGATAACAACCTTCCAGATGATAAGACATCACCAAAAACAATGCATGAAGAAATACAATTTACATATTCAATTATTGTTCAAATAAATAAGCTAATAAAACTAATAGTACTTTATGCAGTAAAAGGAAAACAGTAATTAGTTTCCTCCATCTTTTTCCTAGTCCTGTGATAGAGTAACTAAAATGTCAGTCTCCCTTCCCAAATCAATTCATAAATCTTTAAATAGTAATAACAAACTGTCAAAGTATAAAGAACTAAGCCACCAGCAGGAAGAACTCCAAAGAATAAACAAGTAAATATGATGAAAGACAGACTGTATCTGAGAAAACGACTAAGACTCTTTCCTTTTTTTCTATTCTTTTCTGATTCTGATATTGAGTGGACTTGCAGACAACTCAAAATGGCCTCCAGTTTTCAAACCATAGATTACATACATGTAAGTAAAAAAATCGTAATCGGTTTTGCTGAATCAGCAAGTAAGCCCGTACAAGAACCAATGGAGAATGAGTAACAAAACACATAAGAACATTGTTCCTCCTTCCATGCAATAAAAGTAAAGAAAAAACATGTAATTAACTCGTCAATTATGGGATATTTGTCAAAATAAGATAAAGAAAACTTGTGTGTGAGGGAGAGAAAGAGGGGTAGAACCAATAATTAAGCAACTGAATTCCAGCAATGACAATCATAATTATGTCAGAACCAAATTTTCATTTGGAAGCATCAAAATTTCCAAATGTCACCGAACGAATTCAAATAAGAAAAAGTAGAACAGGATATTAATAAGTGAGTGGAATAAAACCATGATAATGTTGAGATCCTCTTGAGCGATATTCTCCAAGGAAACTTGCTTAATTGCAACGAAGTCTCCATTCTCCAAGTCCAAACCCTTGTACACGCGACCGTACGCTCCCTTCCCAATCTCATCCCCGAGCATCTGAACCAAATTCTTATATATAAGTCAAATTCCTATCGGATTCAACTCCACCAAAGTCTCACATAATAGAAACGAAACCCTAATAACACTGAAACGAAAGAACAGGCTGCTAAATCGAAAAAACGCGCGCGAGAGAGAATAAAATTGCTCACGTATTTGTTATCGAGCGTCTTCGATTTGTGGAAATGCGTAGAAGCTGCGTGGCGAGACATCTCCGGAGAACGCTCGGTTCCGGCGAAGGACCGGAGGTCCAAGGAATGGAAGAAACGTCAATACTCTGGTTCCGATCTACCAATTTTCGTTAAAGGGAGGCCATTTCGGTAAATAAAGAACATATCGTCGTCTGGTTGCTCTAGTCGGAACTCGGAAGCGGGTACAACGGGTACAAGACGATAGATATGTGCAAGCCAACTGACTTCGGGGTGTCAACCCACGGGCTGCCCAGACCGCACATATGCAAGAGGTGAGGTGGCTGTATTACTATCCTACTTTTATTTTTTTGTTATAAAACGAAGAGGGACCATACAAGAGGAGCAAATGAAAACTAGGTACAAAAGAAGATTACAATGGTAATGTAGTTTGTAATGTAATGTACAATCTTTTTAGCTTCATTGAGCAAGCCAATCTGCAGCGTAATTGTCTCATGTAACACATGTCTGTACTCTACACCTTTCTCAAAATGCTCCTTAAGCTCCAGATGCTTAAGGCAGGTCAAGCATTTGTTGAAGGTTGGAGATCACAAGCTTTGAATCTCTCTAGATGATGATGGAGTGGTCCTTGAAGTTCATCGCCAAGTTGTGAGTTTTCTAAGCAGTCCACGCTTCAAAAACATTGATGGTTGTAATTACCAAGGTGGATTACCAAAGTAATACCACCACTAAAACAAGAAGAATCAAAATTTATTTTTATTGTTCCATATGCAGGGTGTTTCCACAAGATTGGCTTCCAAGTCTTAACAATCTTGTCCGAAAAAGAGTAGTTTATAGCTTCTTGGTTTTCTAGAAAGGAATTTAGAGCCCTTTCTAACACAATTTGAGGGGGGTTAAGGAGATGTTAAAGTTTTTTTTTTGGTACCTATTTTTCCAAAATGCCATAGAATGAAAACACACTTTTTCGCTTTTGTTTTCTCCCCTAGTAAAATCATTGTTACATGTAATTTTTTTTTCACCACACTTTCAAAGAGGGGTCCATGTCGTTTGGCCCCTTGATATTAGGCCTGATAGTCAACAAAATTTGCTTAGAAAGTGTGCAGTTTTTTAATATATATTCTAAATACTCATCCTCACTATAAAGGCTGCAACAACCGTCAATATTATCTCCCCTACTTCTAAGAAGGCTCTTCGTTGGGAGCTTGTTGTTAAGAAACAAAAGCAAGAAGACCCTCAAATTTGGAGGGCATTTCAGCTTCCACACTTTGGAGTTCCAAATAAAATTATCTCCTGAACTCACACTTCCTGAGTTTCATTTGAGTTAGTCAAGAGGAGGTTTCTTTAGGAATTGTTAATTTCATCAATAACTAGCGGAGACCCATGCGATGCATGGGATTTATTAAGCGAAAGATAAATAATAGTGATGAGAGGTAAGTTGGCTCGACCTAGCAACCGAAGTACATGTGGATGCGATCAGCCACTAGGATGACAATTCAGCAAGGGAGCCTTGCCAACAGCTCAGGAGCTCGGGACCTTGAGCACCTTGTCACAAAGGCACCTTGGGACCTGATCCAATTCGGAGCCAAAGAACCAAGGTGCAAGATTGGGGCCAAAGAAATGAAGCGCCACGTAATTGACTCTAGAAGCTTCTCCAACGGACTCCGAATTCCCTGGGTTCACGCATTCATTAAGAAGGCTCATCCTCACTCCGCCCAAATCGGAGGGAATTGATAAACCTTATCAACTGGTGCATTGCTCTCCGAAAACGGAGTGGATCTTATCTACACAGCTCGAAAATCCCGGATCCTTTTCATAGGATTCACGACTACTCAACTATATAAGGGAATCAATCCTCAAAGCGAAGGTACGCGCAATTATTTGCTCACTAGCACTCTAGCATTCGAGTATTCAGCTCGCATCCATAATATAGTACTAACTTAAGCATCGGAGCGACCTCGTCGGATTAGCCACCCCGGGTTCTCTGATCTATTATCTTGCAGCTTGGTCCAGCTCATCATGCAACTGGTGTTCAAATCATTGTCCAGCTAGGAGTATCCAGATCGCGCACCATCAATTGGCACTGTCTATGGGAAACTGATCAAAAGGTCATCCTAATTTCAGTTGCAATTCTAGCTTTCGATTTATCTTAATGGATTCTTCCAGCACAACGGGAAAAGCATCGAGATGAACGTCACCGAGGGGCAAGATCAGCAATCAACCTTCCCCCAAGGTTCCACGGTATGCATCAACCAATTTACTATTCCCCTTATAGCTTCAGGGGTCCCGTCACTGTCCGTACCGCAAGGCACTATGCAAATGAACGTCCCACTTCCCCCAGTGGGTGTAATTTTCTTTGAGCCATCTATGGTCCCCCCTGGAATCGAGCACTCTCAATTCCATGACCTCGTTTAATGCGTCCAGACAATATAGATCCAGATGCAGCAGGTCCAATAGTTCCAACATTATCAGCAGTACTACCTGTACTAGTAGTATCAGTAGCAGTTCCCACCACTGCAGCCAAACCAGCAGCCAATTCCACCCCGGCACCCAGGGTTGCTAGGGCCATAACCAGAATTGGCTTGGAACTAGCCAAAACGTCCACCAATCCCCCGTGAGAGGAGAGATGGTCAGCACACTCCTCCAGTCTCATAAGGAAATTTTAGAAATAAGCCTGAGGATAGTCAGCTCAACAGGGCCAATCCGGCATGACACTCCCAGCAGGAAAACAACGGATCACGAGGAGATAACAACTAGCCCAGAGTTCAAGGTGCGAACTCAAGGCAGGACCCCTCAGTGCCTCGTGATAGCCGTTGGGAGCTCCACAATCAGGAGAACTCGGCAAAAAGGAACCAAGATCCACCTCGCGACAATGTCCGTAATAATGCCGAGATACCAGATTAGACCGAGGTTAGCAGTACCGACGCTGAGCCGGTGAAGAAGCAGCAACGGCGACGCCGCAAGACACGTTGCTCCTCGGCCAGAAGTAGTCTGCCAACGAATCCAAGCCAACAAGCAGAGCGAACTAAAGAAAATGAAGAAATGAGCTTGGTGGCAATGAAGACTGCACCTCCCTTGCTTTGCCAGTCATCTCTGTCTCCCAAGATATGCCGAAAGACTTCAAGGTACCCCCATTAGATAAGTATGACGGGTTGTTTGACCCCAACAATCATGTGGATTCTTTCCAGTCACAAATACACCAAGTTGGGACAGACAAATCCTGCATGTGTGTGGCCTTTTCTACCATGTTCAAGGGGGTAGTCCGAACCTGGTAATGGAACCTCGCGCCGGTCTCCATCAAAAGTTGGGAACAATTTGCCGATCTGTTCACTGCGCATTTCATTACAAGCAAGAAATGCCCGAGGCCGCAAAAAAGTCTTCTGAATGTGGTTCAAAGGGAAGGAGAATCAATCAGAAACTATAAAAAATGCTTCAACTAGGAATCGTATTCCCTATTTTAGAAAAATCATATTTTTCAAGGATCAATCTTGAATCAAGAACCGAACCAGATCTGAACCAAAAGCAGTGGGAGAGAGATATACCTGATACGGAAAAATAATATTTCCCAATGGAGGTGTTCATGCCCAAGGAAGGAACCAAAAACTGCTCCCATTGAAGATGGCGCAGTGCAGGATGGAGCAGAGTCAACAGTGTTCTTCCCAAGAACCTGATCCTTCGCAAGAATTAGCATGACAGCATGTGAGCACAGCTTCCTATCAGTCCCTTCACAAAAGCTGATATCAAGATCCAATCTTGATTTCTCCTACTTAACTGGAGATCGAACTGGCAGGTGAGGCGGCGGAAAGAAGGAGGCGGCAAGAAAGAATTTCGCAGGTTGCTAGATTCTTTCTTCTGTGATTTCAGCTCTGAAGAGGATGTGAATATATGTCTTCTAAAGGCTGCCGCCCCCTCCTCCTTTTATAAGCTTAAAGGGATCAGCTCCTAATCCCATTAGGAGTTGCTGATCCAAATCATATTTGGATCAGAATTCCCTTTAAGTGATAAGGGTGAACCCTTATCTTATCTGCAGATTGGATCAGTCTTCTCCTAATCTCATTAGGAGGTTTCCAGATCATAATCTCATTTAGATCTGCACTCTCTGAGTGGATAGGGTTAAGACTCAATCCTATCTGCTAATCCAATCTCAGAATTCGCCCCTTATTTAACTGATTAAATCAGCCTAGTTCGAAATGGGCTTTAGGCCCAATAAGGTTATGTGCTCATTTAGCCTTCCTAACTACTGCCCAATTGGGCTTCCTTGTATAGCATGGGACCCAAACATTAATCTACATATCAGCCACATGGGTTCAGCGCAGCCTTTGTTACAAGGCCTGGCCAAATACACTGTTATGGACAGTGCACCCCCTAAAACCCATCACATGGGCTCTATGGGCCCAAAACTTATGTTAAGTGGTCTCTGGGCCAAGCCACCTTGTAACACTCAAGGATTGTGGGCAGATGCAAGTTTAGCCCATCAGGTATTACCCCCAATGGTCTTACACTTAACCTCTCAGCCCATAATGATCAAACACTGCCCGACAAAAGAGGACCTCTCCCTCGGCTGCAAGGAACAGTGTTGCATTCTCTACTCACATGGATCCCGAGAATTAAAACCTTTTGCAAACAATTAGAAACTGTAATATATATACTTTTATATCTCATATAAAATATATTTTGAAAAACAAATCTCAACGATTGAAATTGGCTGCCAGTAGTCTTGGTTTCCATAAGAGAGAGTAGATCCCCGATCATTACCTTTGTCCGACAAAGGGGCTGATCCTGTCACTATGATCACCCACTCAAATGAATTCTCAGACTATCCCAACATACCCAGGTTTTGACCCCCGCTAAGGATTTCACTGATTGGCATATCAAAGACAGACCGATCCGACACCTAGTGCAGTATCATAATCGAGTCTAGGGGTCATGTGTAACTTTCTAGTTTTGCCCATCAATCTCCAAGGTCCAGGGCAATACTGGAAATCTGGTCCAGTTCAAAGATTCAATTAATCCTACACTACATGTGCCTTGGGTATCACCCTGGTGGCTGAGACAGGCCACCCCAACATTTGGTAGCACACCAGTGTTAGCCTTGGTAAGGTGAATCTCCCCAGGCTTATCCAATGGCTGTGAACATTCTAAACTAACACGAGTCTCATAAGTGTCCAGTTTAAGGGTATTACACAGAAACACACCACAGGAACATGAAT